AACATTTCTAAGACAACAGTGACAGGGAATGCACCATGAGATTGTTCTATGGTCTGAGAGACCATTCTTTCAAGCACACAAAGTTGAGCTTTCAGAATTGATGGCTGATGATGCTGTTCACCAAACAAAACTGCAACAAGATAAAAAATAATGAGATAGATTTCACACTAAACTCAACTGATAAGAAGTTATTCCATAGTCTCTGATCTCAGTATTTGACAAAGGGTTTATCAGGGCAGGACATCTGCATAGGCGAAATACTACCATAAAAAGCAAATGATGGAGAAACCTGCAAGTGGACAAGATACTAACATAACAATCAAATAACAGCTGAGAAAACTGCAAGTGCACAAGAGGTTAATGTTACAGTAACTGCTAGTGAAAACTGCAAGCACCCAAGATACTAACAAGCACAAATGTAAGCTTTGGAAAAAATTAACTGCAGTTGTGTTATGCTGTAATGTACTTTGCAAATCCCCCTAAAATGGAAAAGCAGCAGCCACTTGTAACTTTAATAGGTTAGTTTTTAACTTAACCTGTCCCATTGCATGACAGCTATAGCAGGGTTGAATGACAGGTTGATTTAGTTATGTTTAAGTGATAACAGTTCAGTTTAAGTGTGTGAAGATTAATGTTTGTTGCTGTATCCTTCTCTACTTTTTGGTTATTATAGCACTGCCAATGTTATCACATGCAGTTCTAACATAACAATATGTTGTTAAATTTTTCCATAACAATGTGAGCAGGGCTATACAGGTCATGACCCAAAGTAAATTATGGAAAATTTGTTCTAAATTTTCTTCATTATAGTCAAGTTTCAGGTTTATGTACATTAAAAGTTTAAAAACAGACTAGTAGGAAAGTTTCATTTTCAACCTCTTTGGGACAATCCAGTGCTGATACATTTATGAGTTAAATGTTACATTCCCAATGAAACACCCATTTGACTTAATTTCTCTTTTGCAGTAAATGTTTGAACTTAAGAATAAAAGATGTTCATGCAGTACAATCATGCAGAGTACTCGTAAAAGTGAACTGTTATTCTGTTCAGGTTTTCGTTCACCTCAATGGAAGTCACCATCAGAGTAAAGTGAGCGTTCGCTGTTAGTAAACTTTTGTAAATCAGGCTCATGAAAACTAACTGAGCAGTTTTACCTCACTTAACTTGGATGATGAATCGCACTCTGAGTCAACAATTTTCTTATGTTGTTATAAAACAGTTAACACTAAACCAAGCATATACAAACCAATAGTAGCTTTTTTTGCCTCAGACATCACTGTGTCAAATGTTAACTTAGATCCAGGATTCCTGGCTGAGACAAACTGTAAAGACTTTGACAACTTTCTCAGGTTTCCTCTGAGGTTAGTCCACCCTGCCTACAAAAAAGAAAAACAAAAACAAACAAACTTACTTCTCTGATTGTAAAAAAGATATTCATGGTCATCTCAAACTGAAATTTATTGGATGGATTTATCACGTAATTCCTAATTAAAATAAATTTTGGTGCATCTTTCACCCTAACATCAGAATACACATTCTCCAAATTGTACTTTGTATATTTCCTTTGACACTGAGGGGGAAAAATTTTTTCACATATTTATTTAGTGAATAAATAAGGTTAAAGGACCTGGTTAAAGGACCACTGAAATTAGGTTTGACTGTTTCCTTGCATTTACATGTTGTAAAACTCTTGTTTTATATATTTAGCAGAATTTTTTTTTCCTCTGTGCACTTGATCTGGATAACCTTCCAGCCACTGTTAGTGAAGACATACATATACATGTGTTACATAGTTACATGTAAATGATTTGTAAATAGGATAATCAGACAATATTGTTCCAATACCAAGGGATCCTAATAATTTCTTTTCAGCAATACAGGGATCAATAGGACATGGTAAAACTGGTTGCAGAAGGGGTTACACTCAAACTACATACAACATTTTCTTCATTAAACACCTACTGCATTTATTTCAAACACAGCCCAGTGAACCTGGCACTCACATGAGACAGACATCTTGCAGGCAGTTCCCTGGTTTCTACTCACCAACACAATCTAATGAGTCCCAAACTTCATGTTCACCATAAACAAACAAATCACAGTCTAGAAGGTTTATTTTTCCTTTTGATATATACTCCATTTACTTTTATTCACAAGGTTTTTTTCTAAATTCACAAGCGCTCCTTCTTCAAAGATTACAATGAAACCATTCATGCATTGTATTAAACCTACTCCTATTGCTTGAATGTCCTCTTCCATTTCCCATCTGTCTCTTGCCCTTATTCTACAGACAGTTCTGGTTTGCAATTAGTAATCAAGTGAACATGTCAAAACATGAACAATAAGAAAAGTAAAATGCCAATAATTTCAACAGTCTAATCAGGGCCTTCAGTTTATGAAGAGAGTGCAATTTTGTGTGACTTTTTCAGGCTGATTTTTCAGGCTGATTTTTCATAACCAATGTCCTAAGACCCTTGGATGATTGGTCAAGATAGCAATGTCTTCCCCTTCATTCAGCCAAAACAAAGTGTTGCTGGGTCTTTCCTGAGGATCGCGTTTCTTTTCCTTCAAATATTGTCATGAAAAAAAAATTTAATTATCAACACAGCAGTTTGTCATGGTGGAACTACTCATTAGAGTACAGTCACCACTTAGCTCGCCCACTAATAAAGGTACATTCCCCAGGGCTCAAACAATAACCCTGCAATTTACTTAAAAGTTTTATCATACCATTTATATGAGGCTAGCATTTGATCAGCATACCATATTTGGTTAAAGAAAAAGCAAATAATTGCTATGTTAATAATGATGATCAAGTTCTCCACTTGTGGTACTACTTTCTGAGGAATGTTAATTCCTTTGCTATGTAAATGTATCCACTATAGAATACACATCTCAACAAATGTGCATGAAAGAATGAAATTGCATGCATATCTAACCATTAAACAAATTACCTCTTGTAGGCAAAAGACACGGTGACAAGATTGGGTAAGAGTTTTAATATCCCTTGCAAGTCCTGAAATGATTTGATAGCCCCCTTCCCTGTTTCACATCCATCAGCAAATTTTAAGGAATTAATCTAATAACTGGAGACATTTTTAAAGTGCAAGATAGTACTTTCCACAGATCTTTGTTTCCAGAGTTTAGTTTAAAATGCCAAAAACAAGGGCTGATGTCACCCCCCTCCTGTAGTATATGCATTCTTTTAAAATAAGAAACTGGTATCTCAGAAATGTCCCAGATAAAGTTCTCTATTGTTTTATCAAAAGGACAAATATTTCCAAGGTGTAACTTGGAAGTGGTCTGAAGCAAAAAGGCATCTACAGAATACGGAAGAACCCACTCCAGTTTGACAAATAAATAATACAGAGCCACTTATTAACATCTCGCTGAGTCACAATATAATATTYACCTACTGTGGTATTCCAAGTAGCACTAGTATACCAAAGATCAAAATTAGAATATACGCTTTCTGAAGTCTCCTTAGTGGGCAGTCCTTGGAAAGCATCGTAAGGTACAAAAACCAAGTGCCCAGGGGCTATTTTGAGCGACGAAACCGTCATTAAATTCTAATGACCCTTACACACATTGAATGAAATAAACCCGAGGTTATTCAAAAATTAATTGCGACGACCAGAATCAATTCAGCTTTCTTTCACCTTGATTAGTACATACCATACAGTCCTCGTGCAAGTCACGAATGAAGTTCATTTACACAGACGTCCGAGAGTATCCCAGAAAGCGAGGGAGTTACGAAAGATCTCCCATGCTAACAAAATCCTCTTTCGGAAACACAACCCCAGACGTAGAAACTCTTACACGCTTGGTAGCCTCGCAGTATACAAAAAAAAAACAACCATTGATCCTATTTCTCATTCCCAGGTCGCTCTCAGCCCTCTTGGTCTACTTGAGGGTGCAGACAGAAACCTTGCACCCCCACCCCCACACCGTCTCTCTAAAAGAAAAGATGATAACTGAGGCGAAAAGCTTCCATATGCAAGTAAAACGCTGCTAAAGGAACCCATCCGCCTCGAGGTCTTGGCGTATTCGGGTCCAATCTTAACAAGAGTCCCTGCACTGAAAGATGCAAAACGGAAACAAAATTTTGACAATGTTTAATCCCAAAAGTGGTTCTTTTGGCCTTAAATCCATTCAGCAAAGAAGTGTTTTCTCTTGTTTTTTTATATTGGCTACTTTGAATTAGACATCTTGGTTAGGCTACCCAAAGAGCAAGTTCAAGAAGAGTCGATCAGAACAAGGCTTGAATTTCCAAGAAGATATTCTTATATTATCGTGACGGAAGGCTGACACCGGTCTAATACGAGCGTAATATCTATATTGTCTTCTGTTTAGAGTTCAAGTAAGGAAAGAGGAACCATATTGGCAGTATACTGCGTATCTTGGCAGATGAGCCAGCAAAATTTTTTCGCATAGATCTGTTTCTTAGGGATCTCTTCTTTATCTTGACACAGAACTTAGGTTCCCTTCTAAAAGAAGAATTTTGCTTAACATACCAAGAAAAGTTCCTAAGCCGCCCACGACTTATTGGTCATTTTATTTGTTTTACTTTGTTTAGAAAAATAAACACTTATGCTGTATAAAGATCAACGAATACACGTGATCAGCGATGATCCAACGTCACAATTACATGTGACGTTCTATCGATTTTGCTTTACCGCGCCTTGCGATTGGTTAAGAAAACTGGCTCCATGCTTTTTAACCAATCAAAACCAAAGGGATAAGTGATTTTGCCAACATTGTTTTCCGTGCCTTTTTTGCGTGTATGTATTCATTCATTCACTTTGCGGTCTTATTTTTCCACGTGATATTTTCCAGCATTCTCACTGGCCATCTCAATTACGCTGATTTTGGTTTAAAGGTACAACAGCCAATTGAAAACCTATTTGACACAGCAGAGTGATCCCATTGACCACAGCTGATTGCCGGAAATTTTCCACATAGTGCTAACTATATAAATAAACAAGATCTAGTCAGTCAAAATCCATAATCACCTTCGGTGGATAGTTATTACAGCTCAGCACCATTGTGGCTTTTCACTGTGGAACGAATTCATCCTGAGAACTTCTGATTCAAACGTGAGTTTTTAAATTTGATTTAAACTGTTTGTAGGAATTTCTTTTTTACATATTTTAGTGTTTTTCCTATTTTCTTACAAATGGGAAACGTCGTAGCCAGCTGATCGTAAGCAGACCACAGCAATGGTGTTTTTATCGGCATGTTCAATATTTTGTTATGGGTTATTCGCATTGATCCAGTATCTATCCAGATAGGATAGCAATACTTGAAATCACATGCTACAGACATTAAGACGATAAGCTTTTAGCACTAGGGTAACCTTGAAAACCTGGTACTCAAAGACGACTCGAGTAAAACACCGTCATCTGTGAGACCTAATCTGGCGCAAGCCTTCCTGTTTTCTTCTTTTGTCGTTGATTGTTTATTGCTGGTTGCTAGATCTTTTCTTCCGCCTTGACGGTTTAAATGATAAAGCCAAAGTACAAACCCTGGCCTTCGCTTATCATATTCTTGACTAGTGGCGCATAAGGCCTTGCACCGACGCACAATCACACCCACACCTACCCACACGAAAGCACACGACCACTCAACCCTGAATTTGATATTTTCTAACCCCAGTTCAGCGTTAATCGACTATTTGACTTGTTATGCTGACTAATATTGGAGGTTGGAATATTGATCTACAAAATTACTTCATTGATCGTCTAAACCGGTTCGAAAGAGCCTTGATTCATTAAATTTGGTACGCTAGCTATGGATCTATGGTTTATCATTCTGTAGCCAAATGGGCCGGCTTTAAATTTTACAGCACAGTAGCAGAGTTCTCTTAACTTTTTTAAGACAACACCCAGGGTCAGTTTTTCTGATATCACTATTGGTCTAATCTGATTCGAGAATATTTATACGTTATTTTTTTGCCGCCAGAATTCACATGGGAGATGCACGTGGGAAAAAAGCTCAGTTTGTGACAAAATTATGTAATGTCCTCAAGTGCAGTAAATTCAGGGAGCTATACTAGATATTAGTTTGAGGCCATTTGTATATCTGACTCTCACAAAAGATCTCCCAGAGTTAGTCATTTTTTTTTATTTATTTGGCTCTATTTTCCGATTTCTTTTTAACAGACGTGAAATGAATGGCTAATATCTTTAATGAACAAACTCAAATATTTACAACAAAATTCAATTTCTATGGAAATATTATCAACTTTATTAAAGTTTTTTTGTTTTCATTGGCAGCTTCTTTCAGTTACTCGGTAAAACTGAACTTCTGTTTCGAGTGTTTGATTACTTTCCTATCGTTTCCAATAACAATTCCTTTTAACATTACGGTATTTTTGTTCTCTGTAATTCCCCTGATTACGAATTAAATGAGTTGAGCCGAACTTTTAACCAGTTTCATTATTCGTCCGTTTGACTGATGAGTTTGAATCCTCTCTGACTAAATTTTCCAGGAATAGCGTTTAAACTGTTCGAATTATTCTTCTCTTGCTATTTTTACCTTATACTTAGCGTTGAAACCAATTCCAAAACCTGCTGACGACATCTAAGGAACCCTTAAGATGTTTGTGCGGGAATACTGCGCAGAGTCAGTAGTTCTCTCGTTGCGAAATTCGTGCGTTCTGTCCGGTTCCCGAATTTTTTCACACCGTCTCTGCTGCCATTTCTACTTAATTTGTGGCGACATAACTAACCTTTCGTACTCGTTAATTTCCGAAAAGCAAACTTTGATGAGCTATATTCGTCGATTTCTTTATTGTGATGAGATCATTAGAATGAAGAGGCCATCACTTGTCTCAACAACATAATGGCCGCCGACTCAGAGGCAGTTCTGTCTATTGTTTGTCTAACATCTAAAGTCCAACATGTCTTATAGATAAAACTGAATTTTATGAGATAGACACTTATGTCACTCGCGGTTTAAACAGGAAAAAATCCCGAACACTTTAGTAAAAGACACAACGAATAACAAAAAATTCATTGTGATTTGACGACTTAAATGAAAAGCTGGTCATCTTGTCGGGTCAGTGTCAACAGTTTTCTTATTTCAGCGCCATACTTTGGATGTATATATAGCAATTCGCCGAAATTTTCAAGTCGCAATTTGGAAGACCACAGATTAAAAAAATGTTACCAGTTTAAATTTCAGAAATTTACAAAACTCAAGTTTTATGTAACTGTAAAATGCGTTAGTTAAATAGGTCGGAAAATTCCTTTTCTATCTAAATATTGTACTGAAAGCCCTTAAGAATCAAAGCCTCTTGAACTGATTGCTCGTGAATGAGGTGGTTTAGTTGTACTTCGCCTTTTGTGTCCAGTTGACAAAGCTTGAATGACTTTAAAATCCTGGAGGAAAACATTTTCAATCAGACACAGATCGACAAAATAAAGTCACAGTCTCATAAACTGTATGGTTACGTAACCACCGCCGGTTCATGTTCAGTTGGAGAATACAGTGATTAGGATTATTAGCCAGGAGTGCACTGATTGATGAGGTCATCTGATGTTGACTCACCGAAAATTGCTGCCCAGTGATCCAGAGCGGCAATGACTGGTAGTCTTTCCTTTAGGGAGTTTTGCAATTCGTTGCTTCAAAGTGTGTATCTTATCAAAGGTTATTTTCACTTTTGGTCGAAATTTTTTTAAGAACGAGATACTAACTCGTTCAGTTCTTTCACTCGAAAAAGTTCTGTCAGCAAAGTTCATCATCCTTAATGTTCACAAATTATTTCGGTTCCAAAGTCCAATGACGAAAATAATGTAAGCAATCTTGCAACAATAAGAATGCTCCAACCTATGTGTCTGCTACAGACGTCAACAAAATACGTGACAATGGGGAAGTACGTTGATTTCCTAACCAGGGAGGTGTGACGCTCAATGTTTTTATAGTTCACCTCCTAAATCTCAAAATCCTGATTCTATTTCATTCAACAGCCGCCACTTGAGTTCACAGACCAAATTTCTACCGATATTCACATGTTCACCCTTTTCAAGATCACCAGTCAGCCAATGAAACAGATGGCAAAAGCTTGTTAGGGTTAGAGAACATTTTGTTTCGATTTCCTCTCGAAGCTAAGGGAAGTCTATGCCATTAAAGCATTTTCTGATGTATCAGGATTACTATTTACAGCCTTAACGGAAAACGCTGAGCATGTTACGGGAAGTTGCGGAAGTGAAGTTATAGGAAGGGTTTCTTAGGAAGTGAAGTTTTCGAAGTACAACTGGAGGCATAAATTTATCGTAGTCGTGAACGAGGTAGAAAGAACCGAAGTATTCGCAATAGTTCATTTCCTTAATATAATTGCTAGACCATGCTAACCTTTTGTTCAAGTTCACTTGACAACAAGGCAAAACAAGTTATGGGGCTGGTATCGATATTTTGTTTTAAAGACCGCTAGCTGGTTATCTCAAAATATAAATTACCACAGCTGCCTTTTAAGTATTCCCACCTTTGTGACATCCTTACAAGGTCAAAGTCAAACAAACCGGTAATGATCAACAAAAGCGTTGTGGAGGTGCATGAACGAACAAAAAAATAAAAAAATCAATTAAAAGGTAGAAATACTTCGTTGCCGTCTTGGATAAATTTAACACCAACGTAGACAATATCAGAGACGTTGAAACGTTTATAAAAAATATAGCGTTTGAGACCAGAGCCACATAATGGCAACCATGCAGACAGCCTACTTTGTGAAGTACCACTTGACGCCGCTAAGTGTTCCAATGACTGCGGAAATCATTTATCAATTCATCTTTTATATGAGCCCACTGGTCAGCAAGTATTTCTCATACAAGTTGATCAATCAGCTATGCTCCCCTCTAGATATCTTAGCTGAGCTCTGGGTGTATTTTTGCAACCTTGACTTTTGACCCCGCTACTCACGTAAGCTTTTTCCAACACTGTGAAATCTTAACCAGTTTAGGAAAGAGGATGCATTTAATTCATGAGTTGATCGGCATGACAAACCACTTTCAAGATATTTACCTAATAGGATTCATCGACTCAAGTGGGTCATTTATAAACGTAACGGATGTACTGAAACGCGGGTAAGTCCACCTCAAAACGACAGGTTTGACTTTAGATAATGTGTCAGCAAAGAAATCTTTTGGTAACTTGAAATTTAAATTGAATTTTACCGACATGACTGACTGAATTATCAGGATGTATTTCAGAGTTTAACTTGTTGAGGTAATTGATGACAAAACAGTGGCACCTAACCGCAGATCAATATCCGATCTAGCCTTAAAGCAATCAACTTTAACAAATATAGAAAGAAGTTTAAAATAGTGCTTAATGACTTATAGAGTGTAAGTGCAGCCTCTTCAAATGGCAAAATAACACGTTTATCACCTTAATTGCTCTCTTTTTATCGTTTTAACCAGGCACATTATAACAATATTGTCTGTAATCCAAAGTTTCTCCAAGCTGTTGAAAAAATTGAACTAACTTTGAGAAAAAAAAGAAGGTGAAATAAACGAGGCCATATAAACATTATTTCACTGGCAGTAGTTGTCGAGTGTCGGATTTAGCCAGAGGTTAGAGTAACACTCTCCTACAACACAAAAATGTGTCTGAGCGCAAAACGTTTGTCTATTGAATCGAAAAATGTTACGTTATTCCTCAGTTTAGCCAGTTTATTTCAATCGCAAACATTAGAGCTATATCTCGAGAGCAATTTACTTGTGACCGGGACTCTTCGCTGAATTTAAAAAAAACAAACCTCACCTTAATAACGAAGAAAAAACAAAACTAACATTGCCTATGCATAAAAACATTCAGGGGCGTCTACATTGAGATTATTTTCGATAGGTTGCAAAAGTTTTTCACCGTTACTGAAGTGTAACTTATAAGTCACACAAACTGTGCACGAGAACTGCTTTTTAATTAAGGCTGCAAGCAAATTTGTAAAATCGGTGCTCTTTATCTGCCCTTTGGGAAACAGAAAGAATCAGACTTAACACTTTTTGAAAAGAAAAGTTAAGCTCTTAACAGTAGTTGACATGGAAACCGTCTAAAAGTTACTTAACAACGCATATTATAATCGTGTTGATTACACAATATTGTATACCAAAATAGGTAGATTATTCTCTAGAACAATGTGTGATTAATTGGGCAGCCAATCAGATCGTAGCGAATGCTCAAGAGTCTTCTACTGCCATGATATATAATCCGCCGCCCCACCAATCTTTCTTTCATTCGTTGAGCAGAAGAGGTTCGGCATTGTTAAGGTAAGCTTTTCTTAAGTCCTAATTTTTTCGGTCCTAAATGTTGACTTTACCAAGCTTGATAGCAGAACACCCTTATTGATTGACCCTCTCTGAGCATCTGGCCAAACAGTAAGCATAAATTAACTACATAAGCAAACAGTAATTAGAAATTAACTCCATACGCCTTAGATAACTTGTGGTATCGAGTAACCGGTGCGGTTTCGAAGATATCGGGTGGTAAGACGTATCGTTTTCCCTTCGTTCCGCTTAAATCAATCCTAAAAGGTCTAAAGTTTGAATTCCGCCACAGCATGATTGGGAATTCATGAAAAGTGCGATAAGTATTCTTGGAATACTTAAAATTGCAGCTTGTCACTGCTAACTTAATTTCGCTTCTGGAAAAAATCTTTTTTCAGCACTATTCGGCTAACTCTTCGGTTATACAGTCAAATGAAAGCGTTTTATTTGCTTCTTAGTTGTTTATCAACATGAGCAATTAGACGTGTCTGTAAATTTCGAAAGTGTTTTGTTAAATCGAGTTCTTCCTGGCCGAAATAAGTCTCTAAAGCGCCGTCACTGGTCGCCATCTGCCCACCGTTGCTATATTAGCTGTCGTAATATTTTCCCATGACAAGTTGGATGATATTGTGTAGTGAAATCGTCAATGTTTCTTTTGCCGATTGGCTTTCTTCTTAAGCGATGGTACGCGGGTAGCCAGCGTCGCTGATAGTTTCAGGTGCATTTGATGAAACGATGGCGGGAGATCAACGCCTCAAAATGCATAAAAAAACTTCGCTACTCAGACTAGCACTCTGAAAACTGTACTTGTCGATTTGAGCGATTGATCCATGCACAAAAACAGACACGAAAAGAATAATAATTAAGCCTATGTATCTTGTATTTTCTCACGAGAAGCGCGAAGTGGTGTCGACTGTAATAATTTGTTTTTGCTTTGCTTGGTGAATCATGTTTCAAGATCGACGAGTGGAAACTAAGATTAGTGTTATTATACCGAGTAAAAAAGGCTTAAAAGTACTTGAAGAGTTCACTGCCAACTGATTAAATTATGCTGAAAGACTTGTATAGTTTTCCCAAGAGCTTACTTCCTTAGCCAAAGCGGTGACGCATTTCTTAAAGGAAAGTGCGTATCAATCACTTCATGATAGAGCTATGTGTTTCTAAAAGAACCTGCTGTACTACATCGGCAGAAGGGGAAGCACTTGGTAGATTATCTGTTTGAAGTCAACAAATAAGATAGAAATAAACCACTGCAATTTTCAAATCTTCGAAATGGCGGTTTCAACAGCCCAGAATAACTTTTGTTGATATTCATCCACGTGTGACAAGTTAGCACCAGTTGGTACTTTGACAACCGTAGGAATAATTAAAGTTGGAAAGAACTAAGTCGCATTTGAGGTTTTATTCATAACGGCATCTAATCCTAGGGATGACAGACTCGCTCAAATATTGATGAGCCTAAATTGCCTAAAGAATCATGGTATAATCCCAGACGGCTCCTTTTTTATATGTAAAAACAGTATTTTAAGTTGTTAAAGAAACATACCTTAGAAAAGAAATTAAGTACAAAATTAAAGATATAACTCTTCTGTTGTTTCCTTGCACAGGAAAAATAAGCAAAATCAACAAACCATGGCCAAATTTCTGTTCTTAGCATTCATTGGTCTTACTGGAATTTCTATCGGCTTAGGAACCGACAGTAAGTATTTCATTTCTCTAAATATAAAACGAAAGGTTCGAAATACCTTGTAATGCCTTCTGCAGACGTTTGAATATGGTAAATGACACTACACTGCTGTTGCCTCCGTATAGGCGTTTCGTTTTCTTAGCAGCATTATATTTGTTGTGGCGAAGTTTATCGAGATAGTTCATGAGAGAGATACTAGCGAGTAACCTATCATGCAGTCTGATTGCCTCAGGCATTCTTTAGAACTGTGTTTGCTTTGAATAGAAGTGTTCCCTCCCAAGAGAAATGAACCAGTACTCCCCCGCCCCCTCCCCCCCACAGGGTAAGAATTTTGGTTCCTTGGGTTTGTTATAAAAGTCGAACAAAGGCATTCGAAGTTACTTTCCTGGATAACGTTTAAGGATTTAATTTTTCTTTTATTTCATAATTCCAAACGATCTCAATTCTCAACACAGAATTTAGAAAAAAAAAAGATAACCTTATCAGTTCTTCATGTAAGTTTTCTATATGTTAAAAATATTATTTCCCCTTTTCAGGCTGGAGCTACTGCAGTAATTGTGCCGATGGTAAGTCGCTGCTAGCGCCTTTCTTGATGTTTAAATGTCGAGTTCGATGGTACCACTTTTGGGTAAGGTGGGAGCCCCCACTACCTATAGTTCTCGTACCCCTTAAATTTCTCATCAAGGCTTGTGATACGCGGTGTAGAGAGTATTCCACGACTAATGAAGGGAATTTCAACCCATCGCCCCACTGTTACTTGATGACATGACTGGCTATCCATAACCAGTACTTTAACATTAGTCCCTTTTTGACAAAGAAAAGGGCCTCTTAGTACTTATTAAGCCACTTCCTTGAGTAGCCTTTATTACACTTTTCTTGTGTCAAATGTTTAAACTTTTTCTGCCATTTTAGGCCCGTTGAGATGGACTGGTGACTGCGCCTCTGGGAAAAGCCAATCTCCCATAGACATTTCCTTGGCTAATGCAACCTACAAGTCGTTCTCAGCCTGGAACTGGAAAAACTACGGAAGTACACTCTCGACTAAGTTCACTCAACAGAACACTGGCTCTGCTCTGCAGGTGAACCTACCAGATAAAAAGTTCTTCGTCAGTGGTGGAGGTCTTGTAGGAAACTACACCACCGCTCAATTTCACCTTCACTGGGGACCCGACAATGGACAAGGTTCAGAGCACACTCTGAATGGCGAACAGTTTGCTGCAGAGGTGCGTACAGAGAAAATTTCTCGCAAAATCGCATGCGTCATTTCTGAATGAAAGACTTCACGTTAGAAACTGTTCGATAACTCTCACATTCAAGGCTTTCATATAGATCCTGCATTCAAGAAACCGAATTCTATTGATCAGCCATAGCATTTAGACGAACTTTTCATCTTGACATTGATTGAGGGGAAAGTTATGTCCACTTGTAATTACATGCCAGCGAAGGGAAAGTTATGAGCACCATCACAAACATTACACCTAACAATCCTGATCATTTCTTTCACTCAGATCCATTTTGTCAGCTACAATGTCAAATACCCAAACTTGACCTACGCCGCCGCGCAGCCTGATGGTTTGGCTGTCCTTGGTGTCTTCATCGAGGTATTTGAGTGCTACGTCATGTGCTGTGATGCTTAGGATCTAAAGATAATGCGCAAAGCTTCAGTGTCATAACAGTGGAGAATCGGCAAAGGCATAGAGAAACGTGTGAACTAATGTTGCAGGAACATTTGCCCAAAAAACAGATCAACAAAGTTAAAGTACCAATAACACAGGAAATCGTGATTTCATTATTAATTTCTCGGAACCAATTGCGTGCAGTTCGTAAGCAATTTAGATATGGAGACAGAAAATTAGATGTCCAACAGCTAATAGAGAGTGAAAATTAATTCTCGAGTTAGCCTAACAATTATTCTATAGGAATAAATCGACCCATTCTGACAAAATCCGATTTTTATACAATGTAACCTTCGATGATATTGTTCCCTTTCAGGTGGGAAGTGCAAATTCCGCTTACGACAAATTCCTCAAATATACCTCAAAAGTTGTCAATGGAAGTAAGTCTATCTCTTCTGTTACTCACTCATATTAGGTTTCTTTTTCACATGTCTGTTACTTTTGGAAACGAAGATCACATAGAGAGAGTCGATCAAAACTTCAGATAGATATCTAATTTCGTGGTTTGAGGCGAATTTCCGTGGAAGGGGAGAGGTTCTCTTTTGTACCTCAGGGTCTCCTCTGTACCTCGGGTTCTCCTCTGTACCTCAACTCTTGAAATCTCTTCTGTACATACCCCTAACCTTAAGCCCGACGATTTTTTGAGAAGGCGGCGGGGTCTCTCGTTTTATTGTACCCAACTGGCTTTTTTTGTTGTTTCTTTAATCAATTCTCATCTTTTTTAATTATTATTTGACAGACACAACTGCAAGCATTGCACCTTTTCCTCTCTCTCCTCTTTTCCCATCCAACACGAGCAAGTTCTACAGGTACCAAGGCTCCCTAACAACGCCGGGATGTTTGGAGTCTGTCACATGGACAGTCTTCCACGATTCCGTAAAGATATCCGCATCTCAGGTGAGCCTTACGATTGTAAAGTGCGGTTTCTATGAAGACGAAAGGAACTAGTGCTTCTTCGATATGTTTTCGTCTTGCGGATCAGATAAGAGGTGCGTTCGTGTTTGAGCGCAATTTTGTGTTCGAGAACGAGATCTGACGCCTTTTTCCTTGGTTGCCATAAGCCAAAACCAAAGGTAACACAATATTCTCATTGGGAAGAAACGCATGTGACACAAGGAGTCAATGAGAAAACGAAGAAAATTCCTGAAGGAGTTAAAGGATGCGAAAACGTAGATGATAAAGTCGTCAGAGGCTTTGAATCTGGTTTTGGTTTTACATAGGTTAAGTTTTGTATCAGGAAAAAATTAATCTGTTATGAAAAGGCGGAGCGAGTTTTTAAAGTCAATCGGACTGCTATAGCAATCCTGTATTATTCTGCACACTCATTTAAGATTGCTCTGTGGCACACAGCTACTGACCCCAAACTAGTGCATCTTAGCAGGAAATGTGCTGTCGCTGTTGTTACTATCGTCTACATTTAGCAGATTTTGGCAGCAGTACGTTAAAAAAAATTCTTCTCATAATTACAGGTTGCTGCCATGCGCAGTTTGATGATGAACGACACTGACTACATTGGGTTGAACTACCGCCCGACCCAGGCCCTTAACACACGCACTGTGTATGCAAGCTTCGATGTTTCACCTACCACAGAAACTCCGACGGTCGATGATTCAGCAGCTGGTGTCAAGATGACCACGAGCCTGTTGCTGTTGATGTTAATCGGAGCTCTATTCCTTAATTAAGATGGCTCCTTCGCAAACACCTAACGCCAATTGACTAAGACTTGCTGTTCAGTTAATGTGTGGTATCATCTAATATATATGGTTGCGATGAATGACAGGAGATTTTTGTTAAATAAGGTTGGTGTATGCACACACTCTTGGAAGAAACTGAGGGAGAAAACAGCAGCAAATTTCATATCACTTATATCCGCAGGAAGCCCCCCTAAAGGTAACCTTTCCGACCATCTGACAAAAACGGCCATCTAAACATGACCTCTGAAGAAGGTTCCTTTTTGTAGAAAAACATCACTACGTTGTTCATCTCCTGATTTCTCCTTGTAATGTGTATACCAGCCTTATTAATTCGTTATTATCTCTACTATATTTTTTAAGCCGACGGAATCTTGTTTTTACGATTTGGTGCTGTATTTAAAGCGTCAAACATTGAGCCAAAGTATTTACAGCCATCAGTGTGGACTTTCGAACCGATTATAACCGTTCAGTGTGCGATTTGAAATGAATAAAAAGTTTTTTGTCTAATTCTGAGTATATTTTTTGAATTAACCTCTTCGTTGTAAATCGACATTTGGATCTATACCGAATAAGGATGAACATAAAGCAAAAAATTAAAGAACAGTGTTTCCGGTATGAAAGAAACAACACTGGAAAAAACTTTTCTCAAACTCATTAATAATTCATCAAGTTACAAACCAATCGCGATACGCCAATTTGGCCACATGTGTGCGTTTAGAAACCCCGATAAAACAATGGTCAGGGGCTTTTCCACTATACTTTGATGAAATATCAAACCCTAGAGCTTCATAAAATTTCAAACCCCACTGATGCCAAAATCAGTCAGTATTTTTTCATTGTTCTTGGCTAATGATGCACGATTGAGAAGCAATTTCAAAAACTCGTGCTTCGTGTTTTATCGGGGTTTTCAAACACACAAAAACGATAAAAGCACGAGGCCGTAGGCCTCGTGCTTTCATCAGTTTTCTCGTGTTTGGAAACCCCGATGAAACACTCGCACTCGATTTTGAAATGTTACATAAATAACAACTCTAACTAAGACCACGGCATAGTTCAGATATCAGCGGAAACCTCGCTATTGTATTCCAAGCGCGTTTTTTTTTTTTTTTTTTTTTTTGAGTCAACTAAATATAGTTTTCCGATGTGAATGAAGTACGACTTACAAAAAGTAATTACCTCCTGCCATGCATGCGCATTACAAGGTTCCCGGAAAGATTGTTTGGCGGCTGAGTTTCTTAACTCAGTTCGCTCTGACGAAGGGCTAACGCTCGAAACGTCAGCTTTTTTATTCGTTACGGTGGCCAATTTACAATTTCAACTTCGTTGATATAACCAAATGACCTTGTTACCGCCACCGGCGCAGCACCATTGTTTCTTTAGAAACTCTCAGCCTTTATTCAGTTTCTTAACGGTGGGGTAAAGAAGGAAAGTTCAGAAAAGATAAGCTTACAACTGAAAATTTACACGTAAAACCTGAAAGTTAAGTGATTGACACGCCATAACAAGTTCGTCCCGATTATCCAGTCAAAATATGTCGATATTTTTAGAACAATAAGTCTTTATCAGGCGTAGCGGTCTATCAGTGTTATTAATGCTCATTTGTCTTTCACACTCCAAGTTCAATTCCCACTCCATCAAACTTCTTTATTTGCTGCACAAACACGGCTCGGCAGTTTCGAGGTAAGCTTTTGTTCAGTCGCAATTTCTCCTTTTGATACCGTAACACCCTGACGCACTGACTTCTCTTGGAGTATCTAGCTACAATAGGCTGTATAAAGAAACTAAGAAACACTCAATTGGCGGAATCCACTTAAAAGAATTTCGTACGAAGCGGCGCCTTCGGTATCTCGAAGTTGCAGATACGGTCATTGTCACTGCGCACCTCGTACATCGTAGCTAGCATTTTTACCTTAAACCACACAAAAAACTACCGCAAACGGTAAATTCTTATTAATCTCAAATCGCGCCGCCTTTCGTAAGAAGCATCAAGTAGTCTTCAACGCTTTAAACTCGTCACTGCTTTCCACCTTTCGCCTTGGGGATAGACTTTCCTCAAGTTCTGTCCGGCAGCAAAGGCCTCACTTTGACCTACGCCACTATAGGTACCTTTAATTTAGAGTGTGGTTTACGCATAGGGGCTCGAAATCCTTCCTAAGATTATGGTGTCAATGCACCCACTATATAATTTTTTTTTGAAGCATTGCCGAATTTTGTACATTAACGCAGTTGAAGAAATTCAGTTCTAAAAACGAGAGTCGCCGAATTCGTTTGAAATTGAGTTAGAGCTGAGACGCATAAAACCGAAATTAAGACTGCTATCATGAGGCTGTATTATTGCTATGGCAACCTTGGAGGCAACAAAGAATTCAGTCTTTATTGGCCAATAATCGAAATTTCCTCAATCCATTCTCATTGGAAAGAACGTAAAAGAATGAAAATATCTATTCATCAAAGAATAGGTTCTAAAAATAAATTTCAACCATAGAGCAACCGTAAAACTTGCATTCATGTGGCTGTGATTAACCGATATAGTCAAACAACTTTTGAAGAGTCCTTTCCGGTTGTTTAATCAAGCTCGGATATAAAACCATTTCAAGTGTCTCACTTTTCTCGCAGTCGATAAGACAAATGTTGCATTGGGCACACTAGAGCTTTTTCTGTTTGTCAAAGTGAAAAATCTGTTAACAAGTAGCGTAAAATAAGTGTGACCCCTAAATTGAAAAACTTCCCAAATTTTTTGCAAATCGCCAAATTTTCAAAGAACTTTATGTCCTACCTTGGTGGCCTCCAAACTTTGGCGAAAAAAATTGTTTTATTATAAGCTGTCATGATATGCAAGATATGTTTGGATAAAATTTCATCGGGAAAAAAATGTTTTAGTCCACTCGTCTGGCTTGGCGTGCGATTGTAGGTTTTTTCACGTCCATCTGACCTGTCTTCTTTCAAGGGAAACTAAATTTGAGCGCTGCTTTTATTTATCTGTCTGTGACTCGTACCCTGGGTCTGGTTATCTGGCAGCAATTTAGAGAACATGTGACTTGAACGAGATATTCTCCTTCCGTTTTAAGTATTGAAGCTAGCACAAGTAGTGCAAGCGTCAACAAAAAAGTAAAAGACCAGCTGGGAAAAAAGGATCCGATCCTTCGTAGGAATTCGTACGAGAACTTTCCAATTTCTTTTTGAGCGAGATTGGTTTTGTGATTGACATATGAATCAATCATCAGTGAAGTTTTAGTTTTGGTAAAAGGATTTTAGTTTGATACGACCTTTGCCAAATTTTGGAAAGTGCGAAATTTTTGCCCATTTTTGGTTTGCCAAAAGTTGTGAAATATTTGAAAACGTTCTGGTACGGCCACCCCATCTTTCAAAATGTTGACGTGCTTAGCAAATGTCGCGGATAGATTCAAAGCAGGCCTGATTTTAATAATTGATTCTGTTGAAAACTTAGACTGCTTCTTGTCAATTAGTGTTTCCTGGTAGGCTCTAAACTTGTTCTTCAATCGCATTTCTCAACTACAAATGTAACTTTGACGAAAGCGCAACGAGTCGTTAGTTTAAGTTGCTGACTTTGTCCCTTTATAAAAATCCGATTGGTTAACCCCTGTCAATCATTAGCCCCAAGTGATCATTATTATTCTCGTCACGCAATACTCCGCAACGCTGGAAGGCTCGCACGATTCTCTAAGAATACATGGAAGGTTAGCTGCCTTTGTATTTGTCATTATTCTCGATCAAAGAAACATAAGAATAGTGTTGACAATCAGACGCCAGCCTCCCATCTATCCGCCCCCGGAAATGCCCCTTCGTCACGTGTGGATTACTTGTGCAGCAAACAATCTGAGATATTCTCTGTATCGGAGTTACGAGAAGAAAATTCTTTCTTTCTCCTGTCTCCCTCTCGTCCAAGAGCTCATGGTGGTCGATGTAACGGGTTTTGCCGTTCCCTTGATCAACGGAAGCGAGCGATGATGTGACAGAAGATGAAAACTGCAATAAGAGACTGCCCGTTTTTTAATCCCAGGCTTCGTTGTTTTCGCACCTTGTCTCGATTGACACTCTTCTCTAGCCTGCTGACCTAACGAACTAGAATTTACTTCACTCGTCCTCTTCAAAAAAAAGCAGTAATTTTAATTATTCCAAAAACATTTACTCTATGGCGTTGAGAAAACAAAGAAACGCTGTACATAGAAAATCGCCACAGGGCGCATTAATACGGTAGGCTAGCTTCGTTGTCATTCTCAAAATCTGTGTGTGTTACAACTAATATTATTAGTGCAAATCTACCAGACAATCATCTTAACTTAGTTTAGAATCTTAAGCTGTCAGATAAAATAAAAAGGAAATACGATAGGCTATCACTATTTCGTTCTATCCAGCGCAGCTGCCAAATGTTGACATCGCACGCGAAAGAATGTTCGTGTCTTGCAACTTTTTAAGGGGTGCATGCTTTCCGCGTGTCTCACAGGCTAGGCTTGCATGGATAACATTATGTAACCTGCGTGCACTTGCCTTTCGGTAAAATGCCTACGATTCCACACATGACAGAATAAAAAAAACAACATTAATTGAGCCCAAAAGTAAAATGAACCGTTGCGGAAAACAAAACCCGTTATGACAGACATACAAGAATTGGCACGTACCAGGATCTCAGGCATAACTGAAAATTTACTCGTACGCTGTGAGTTACGTAACCTTGGCGACAGTACGGTTACACGTCGAACTAAGCATTTTCTGTAACCCTCTCTCTCTATCCACTGGAGAAAGATCTAAATTGTCATACGGCAGTCTCGATGTTGATAAAAACTCACATGATAGGC